TTCAGTGAGTGTGCCAAGATAATCAAATGGGAAAAGACTCATTATTTCCAAAAAAATTGCTGGATAAGTTATTCCTATAGAGAAGAATAAAATTAGATCTCTACCTCACATCTTTGTAAATGGTAAGTGAAAAGAATGAAAGAAGTAACACAAGTATTTAAACTACCAAATTCTTAAAAGAAAACATTGATAAATATTGATGAACTTGGGCCATGAAATGGTTTCTTGAAGCTGTTCACATGTAAGTGTATTCACACACACACACACCTCATGCACACACATACACAAAGCAATCAATGAAGAAAATAATGAAAAGCAAATAACAATTAAAATTATCAAAGGATCTGTAGAGTCATTGCTCTAAAAATATAAACAAATAACCAAAAACAACATGAAAATATATTAAACCACATCATTCATTAGAGAAATGCAAACCAAAGTCAAAATGCATTATCACGTTACACTCACAAGGATTTCTATGACTATAAGGGAAACAAGAGATGAATGGAAGAGGCAGAGGAGCAGAAGAAAAGTGAGAGATGAGTTTGGTGAGGATGTGGGGAAATCAGAATCCTGATTCACCTCTGGTAGCATCCACTTTAGAAAACAGTTTGACAGGTTTTCAAACCATTAAACAAAGACAGGAGAAATTACACTCTCAGTTATCCACTGAAAAGAACTGTAAGTTTGTTTATGCAAAAACTAACATGTGAATGTTACAGTAGGATGAACCTAAAAAGCAGAAGCAAGCACAGTTACCATTCATTGATTGGAAAAGAAAAATGGATTATGTCTGAATTTTCAGATTATATTATATACAAAGTAATAAATCAATCCCTACATCCAATAGTTAGAAAACAGACTTGTTACCATCACTCATGAGATAATTTAGAAAAGATTCATCCGACACTTGTCCCAAAGGACAAAAAACTAAATAACTCCTGCAAAAGTGGTCTCTGGATATAATAAAGTAGAACTAGACAGAAACCACAAATGCACAAAACTTTAAGAAGTCAAATATTTAAAATAATATGTTAATATAATTTTTAGGCTTAAGACACTACTATAATGAAGTACAAAATATTTTAATTCATAACAAAGAAGATATCAACTATCAAATCCTGTGAGTTACAGCTAAAACAAAGGGGTGATTTTAGGTTTCTTTGTTTATATGTGTTATTGCACACTTTAATGTGGTTCTGAGTGATATTTACATGCATCCTACAGCCAGTGCTAATCAAAGCTGATCGCCTTTTATCACCTTCCTCACCACACTGTTTCCAATGTGCAGTCATCACTATTCTACTTTCATGTTGACTTCCTTTATCTTCCACATGTGATAAAGAATATGCAGTGCTTGTCTTTCTGTTCCTGACTTATTTCATTTAATCTAGTCCCCCAGTTCCACCCATTTTTCTGCAAATGAAAGTCTGTAATTCTTCCTTTTGCTTGGAGAACACTCCAATGTGACATGCACTATATTTTTTTGTTGTTGTTGTTAAAGGGTACCCAGACTAATTCTTTATCTTAACTTGAGCATGCCTTGGGTACTACAAAGATGAGTTAAGGTGTTCAATATATCTTAACTGAATTGAATTACAACATACATGACAAAGGAAATAAGACATAAGAACAAGCATTTTGCAACACATTTATTGTTGATAAAAACCAAATCACTTATACTCAAATGATAAACATTGAGACTTAAAGAACAAATACTACCTATCTTGTGAAAATCTGGCAAGATCAATCCAGAGAAACAGGTGGTACTGAACTATGTTATCTTTTTTTCTAAATCCATTTTATTTCAAGAAGAAAAGAAATATTACAACAAAATTTCAAAACATGTCCTCCAGGAGGTAATAATGGTACATACACTGCACAGTTTCATCCCCAAATCATTTACTCAGAGCACAAGATATCTGTGCCTAATTGTCCAAACATTACCAGAACAAATGTTTCTCTTCAGTGAACTCAGAGAAATCAGTAGCGCAACTATCTTTATTTTCTTTACAAACATATACATACACATATACATAATGTTTTATCTTTTAGATTCTCAGACTAATGAGCTAAAATGACCTTTACAGTTGGAGTTTTATTTATTTCATTAATAAGTGCGGTCTCAAATTGCATCCAGTTTTAATCTTCTGCACATGAAGAGCCTGTTTTTTCAGCACCGTTTATTAAAGAGGCCATCTTCCTTCCAGTGATTGCTTTTGGCATTTTTGTCAAATATAAGTTTTCATAATGTGTCTGAAGTTGTTTCTGCATCTTCTAATCTCTTCCATTGATCTTTGGTTCAGTTTTTTTTTTTTTTTTTTTTTTTTTTTTGCCAGTACCACACGGTGTTATCACAGTAGCTTCATAGTGTAATTGCTAGTCCGTGATTGTGATGCTTCTGTCTTGTCTTTGTTGCCCAGTATCATCTTTGGCATTCTATGTCTCCTCTGTTTCCAGATGAATTTTAGAATTATTTTCTCTAATTCTGTGAGATATGCTACTGTTATTTTGTTTGTGATTACATTGAAACTGTATAACAGTTTTGGAAGTACGACCTATTTCACTACATTAGTTCTCCCTAACACAGAGTGTGGGACATCTCCTTGTTTGCTAATATCCTCTTCAATCTCCTTTTTCAGAGTGCTGAAATTTTCATTGTAGGGCTTTTACATCCTTTGTTAAAGTGATTGCTAGGTATTTCATTTTTTGGATGCTATTGTGAAAAGTGTTGTTTCTCTGATTTTTCTCTCAGTGAGTATGTTATTTGTGTATAGGAAGGCTATTTTTTTTTTGAGACAGAGTCTCACTATGCAGTTCAGGCCTTGAGCTTACTTTGTAGTCCAGATTGGTCTTGAACTTGCAGTGACCCTCCTAACTCAGCCTCCCAAGTGCTGGGATGACAGGTGTGTGCCACCATGCCCAGTTTAAGGCTACTGATTTTTGAGTGTTGATTTTGAACCCAGTTAATGTTACTGAATTTTCTTGTCAAATCTAATAGCCCCTTGGTGGAACTTTGGGGGTCTTCTCTGTAGTGTATTATGCTATCTACAAATAATGATAGTTTAACCTCTTCCTTTCCTATCTTTATTCCTTTTATTACTTGTCTAATTGCTCCAGCTGAAGTTCCCAGGACTATCTTTCAACCTCACTTGCATGGTTCTTGGAAGTCAACTCCTTTCCTTTGGTTGGCGATCTCAGCACCTTGCCATGTGGGTTTCCTGTAGGGAGGCGGCTTACATGACTTGGCAGGTGGATGCCTGGCCTTTTCCCTTTGCCTCCCTTTGCTTCGTTTTCCCATCCTCACACCCACAGATGGGGACAGTTTGCTTCAGTGTCCTCCCTGGCTATCAAACCCCCTTTCTCGCTTCCCACATCAGTGTATTCCTCCTGCTCTGCTCCAGCCACTGCAGACCACACTGTTGCCTTCTGAAGAAAGGAGGGTCCACCCCAGATTGGCTAAGACCAGGCAGGTGGATCTGGGACCTTTATGTGCATACCCAACGTGCACAGCAGGCTCTCAGCCCTGCCCTCTCCCTCTATGAAACAGGTCTGCAGCTGCTGTTTGAGCAGGACCACCACTCCACCACAAACACCTCTCCAGCTTTAGCCTACAAAGGCTCCCACTGTGTACTGACCTCCCTGTACTTCGATCCAGTCCTTTCTGAATACCTGAGTGTCTTCTCCAGGTGCACTGGCAGGGGTAAGAGGTTGGATGAGCAGATCCTCCTGAAGCACTCCAGGGGCATTTCCACATCAGAACTTAGGGTTAGGGTTACTTAACCCTAACCCTAACCCTAACCCTAACAACTACTTCTAAGATAACACTACATAATTCATTATCTAGTTATTTTTTTTACTGTTTTATTTTTTGAAATTCTGAATTATTTCTACCCTGTTTATGTTTTGTATTTTTTTCTATAAATAAAAAAGAAAAAATATGTTATGCACATGGACCAATTCTGTTCAAGGAATTGAAATGTGGCCTGTACTGCAGTCACGCACACACACAAGAAGAAGAACAGGGATGACAGAAGGAGGAAGAAGGAAGGGAAAGGAGATGAAGAAAGGAATAAAGATGTGTTATGTACATTTACCAACTTCCCACAGGGAATGTAGACATTATACACATGTTAGCATGTGTGCTAACAAACTAATTTTTTTTTTAAAATCACCTAGTGAAAGACTCAGTCTCACTAACCCTTCTCAGAATGCTCCCTTCAGTTCACACGGGGGCTTCATCATCCTTGCCACCTTCCGGTGCCGCTCTGGATATCTTTTTCCATGAGTGTCTTTTTAAAATGTTATAAAAATATAAAAACACTGCACATTGAAGGCTGCTGCAGAGCCCATTTAATGCAAAGACCAGCTATTAAAACACTGAGGTGCGCCCCATCCGCCTTCCTCACTGTGTCTGGCACCCCGTGACAGCTGGCTCTTTTCCAAAGGCAAAACCTCTAGACAGGGAAACATTCTGAATGGATTCAGGATTCAAAGCAGCCACAATCACACAACTACAGACACAAAACAAACTCAAATTCCCAGACTGCCTCAGACAGTGGTGAAGACAATGGGAGGTGCACATTCACAGCCAAGGAGATTGATGGCCATGTGTATTTCACTGCAATAATTTTTTAAAATATAAGTATTCAGTGATGGTTCAGTAAAGCTTGTATAATTGTTTTCAGTAAATCACAAAGAGCCAAAATGGTTAAATAAGAAACTAACACAAATCACGTGACACAGAATTTCTTAGTAAGACAGCCTGCGTGGGAAAATAACTTTATGAAAATTCCAACTGTTTTGAACTGCTAATAACCTTCTGAAGACTAACAGAAATCTGAAAAAAAAAAAAAAAAAAAAAAGACACAGAGGAAGACACAGCCTGACTTTCAGGGCAGAAAGAACCAATCCACTGAGTTCATCGTTCTTCCCACCAGGGGGCGCCTCTTTCTAACTCATGCACAGCCTGTCTACTTCTAAGCTCAGAGTCATCCTCTCATTGTAGGAGTAAACTGTTCTTACACAAAGAGGCCCAGGTGCAGGGGCTCCAAAGTCTGAAAATGAACCGTTTCCCGGGAATTATGATTGTGTTATTCTTGAAAATTGGTAAGTAAAATAACATAAATTAAAGTCTTTTGAACTAGGATGTTGAGACCATTTTTAACCAGTTTTCTACGAGGAAATCTCACTTTAGATCCAAGGTAAGCTGTTGCAAATTGTACTCTTTTTCTTTCTTTTCTTCTAGGAGGAAGCGAGGAAGACTCAGTAACACAAACCCAAGGACAAATGACCCTCTCTGAAAGAACTGCCCTGACTGTGAACTGCTCCTATGAAACCACAGGGTATCCGGGCCTATTCTGGTATGTCCAGTATCCCGGAGAAGGTCCACAGCTCCTCCTGAAAGCCACAAGGGACAAAGAGAAAGGAAGCAACAAAGGCTTTGAAGCCACATATGACAAAGAAACCCGCTCCTTCCACTTGAAGAAAGCCTCAGTGCAGGCGTCAGACTCGGCTGTGTACTACTGTGCTCTGAGTGACACAGTGGCAGGAACCGCAGGGGGAGCTGAGCACAAACTCTGAGCCCTGACAAGCCGCCTGGCTGCTGCTGTGTGCCTAAGGCTTTATGGTTTAGGGAACAGGAACTTGTCTAACATGATTGTTGCCTATCAAGCACCATTGATGCTGTTATAGAGTAAAATCACTCAATCCAAAGCTAAGAAAACTTCAGAAGAACAAGAGGTAAACGTGCCTCCCACAATACACTTTCAGGGTGAGAGTGAAACACGCTGTCACAGTCGATTCTCAGTCAGGCAGGTGATTCATGATTCTAAAAGCAGAAAACCTTAGGATGAAGGCAATGGTTTATGCTTACATATAATTTTATCTTCATGCCCTTGTCCCTAGATACCCAAAGTAATAACGTATTTAGTCACAGCTGTGACATGGGAAGGAAAAGATGCTCATTGTCTCCCTGATAAGGTGGTGATTTTAAGGGAAACTTCAGCCTCATCGATAATATGCTCTGAAGGATAGAAAAACATGCAGTAAAGAAAGGGGAAGAAAAATGTGTGGCCTTAGACCTCATATAGAGAAAGAGATGGTGCTCTTTCTGGTTTCTGTCAGGAAAACTATGTGGCATGAACACACTGACTTTCTCCAGACTAGGTTAGACAGGTCCACACCTGTAAAGGCTTCTGACCTCCATCATTTCTCAGCACGTGGCTCTTAATCAGCAAGACAGTCCTTGAGAGAGACAGGCAGTGTCCACAGGCTGGGGAAGGAAGCCACTGAGATGAACCCTTTTCTGGATATTGTGGGCAGGGAATCCCAGCACCCCAAACACCTCTCAGGCCGTTTCTCTGACTGAAGAGCAGTAACAGATGGAGTGGGAGCCAGTGGTCAGAGTATGAGAGAGCAGGGGTGGCAAAGAAGGACAGTTTAACTGAAGATACATTGGCATCACTGCAAATATTGGAGATTTTGCTTTTCTCGCTTATTCTTTTTAATATTTAGTTTACTGCTTAATTTATACTTCAGTAAAAGTAAAGATAATTATAGAAATTTAACAAATAGGAAACAAATACAATAAAATGAGAACTGAAGTACTAGATGTGAAAAAATAAGTACAGAAATTTTGATAAAGCAAAAGTTGCTATTATTAAATACTGTAATAGCCTGAATAATGGTCACCAGCAGTGTCCATGTCATAAGCACCAGAATCTGGCAATATGCTACTTTATATGGTGTATTAGTTTGCTAGGGCTGTCATAGAAAAGGTCGCAGAGTGGATGAGTAACAGTAACAAAATTTGTTGTGTCACCATCTGGATGCCACAGCTTTGTTCCCTCTCTGAAATAATTTGACAGGATGTGTTCCAACCTGTCTTCATGCTCTGATAGTCAGTGGCTTCAAGATGTTTCCTCCTCCCAGTGGCTTCTTTCAATCTGTCCCCTCTGTGTGTTTTCACATCTTAATATTGTTATAGAATCCAAGAGGTCAGAGAGCCTGATGGTGACAAGGAGGACTGATTTCCAGGATGCTAGATGCACATCTGACCTCAGACCCAAAGTTCTGGGTGTTAGAACAAAGGAAAGGCTCTAGTTTTATATATTTGGCTGAGGGGACTCCTCTTTAGACACTAGAAGTGGGGTAGAGAAGCAAGACAAGGCAATTAACAACTTAGTCTTCAAAGAAGACAGAGCCTTGTGAATCCTGCAAGATCAAGGTGATTAAGCTCCGTTTCCAAGATGCAGCAGCCCAGCTTATCTTCATCAGAGCAGGAGGTTACAGCTATTGGGCTGGGCAGTGGGGAGTCCAGTGGGACTGTCCTTTAAAGTCTGGCTCAATGTGATGTCCATTTTATAAGTCCAGTCATACTGGACAGAGGCCTCGTCTACTCTAGCAAGATTTTAACTAAATATATCCATGAGATCCATGTTTCCAAAGAATTTCATACTCAAAAATGAGAGAGATTCAGACTTCATCATATGCATTTGAGGGGCACAATTCACCAAAGTGGCTTAGGGGGAAAAAGATTTTGAAGATGAGAATAATATAAAGATCTTGGTATAGAATGATTATCCAGGATAATTCAGGAGGGCCAAACTAATCACAGGACCATCAGCAGAGTGATAGTGAAAAATGTGGTGTGATGTGGAAATGAGGAAAAACTCTGAAGTCTGAAAAGACAAGAAAATAGATGATTCCCTGTAAATACCACAAGGAAGCAGACTTGATGGCTTCTAGATTTTACATTAGGGAAACTAATATTGAATTTGTGACTCCCCAGAATTGTAAGACAAAATCCGTGTTGCTTTATGCCACTATGGTTGCCATAATTTCTTAAGCAATAATCAGAAACTAGTAAAATATAAATAAAAGATTAAAATAAGACATATTTTTATGTCTCAAGTAGCAGTAAAAAAATTTTTAAGTTGACATTGCATGTAAGTATTGCTGATAAAACGTAAAGTTCTTACGAAATCAAATGAATTCATAGAAAAAGTATATATCATACAAAATAACTCAGTAATAAATAAAAATCTAACTAGATTTATAAGCATTTATAGTTGTTAGATAATTATAAATAGAAATCTGTACAGATTTTTCAATAAAACAGTACGTTTTAATTGGCATGTGTTTCTCATGACAAAAGTAAGCAACATACATCCTAAAACTAAAGTTAGAGAAGAAACTGCTATGAGGAAATAAGAAAACAATCCAAAATAAAAACAGGTAAGTATACAAAAATCAGCTCAAAAAGAAGAAACAGAGAGGGTTAGTAAACACATAAAACATTGTCTACAGCTATCAGAAGAAATTAAAGAAAAAATTTCGTTATTTCTAGTAGAGAAGCAAAATTAAAGTCTGCTTACATTGTGTGTTGAGAAAAATAGAGGAAGGTAGAACTGTTACACTTTTGCAAGTAGGAAAGAAAACCACACACAGAGAGAAAAATTTATATAACCATTTAGGAAACCACAGTAATTTGCTAAAACTGGTTAAAATTATGTACATGTGAAATTCAAGGACTCCAATTGTTGGTACTTATGTTTAAAATTTAAATGTAGGAACAAGAAAGCATTTAAAAGATGTAGCACTAATTTAAAAATAAACATAATCAGTCATCAGTGTAATGGAATCAATGTAATGGGAAGCCTAATTTATTCATACAATAAAATGCAAAGATTTATAACAAATAAGTGATTCCATATACATAGATGAAATCTAAACAGATACTGCTGAGTATGAAAGGAAAATCTCAGAATGGTACACACTGCATAACACCACAGATGAGAAATCTCGAAATTCAAACTTCATCATTTTGTGCTACATTTCTAAGAGGACGAAATTTGGAATCATTTGAATGAAGTCTTCCTGCCAGAAATTGTCTCTTTGGAAGGAGAGGAGAAAGAACAAAGAGTGACTTCTTTATCTGTGTAATACTTTTTAAAAACAGGAGGGAGACATAACAAGAAATACTATTAAAATAACATAATTACATTTTTTCTGGCTGCTAAGTTTTCTGCCATATAATTTGCTAAACTTTTAGATGTAATAATTGTATAATACATTTAAAATAATTTCTAAATAAATAGCAGCAAGTAGATTTTTATGATCTCCTCCGATCCACAGAATGGAGAAAGAAACTTTTCCTTACAGCACTCTGTGAAGCACATTGTTGCTACACCACAGAAATTCCAGGAGAAAATCTTTGATTTCCTAATGAATGAAAAGGTGTGCAGTTAGGTGGTACAGAGGGTTCACATGCTGCTTCCTGGCTGTGAAGCTGGTGCCAAGCAGGAGGATGGACTGGGAGTAGGAGTCTAGGTCAGCTAGGCAACGCAGGAGTCTCTGTCTCAAACAAACATGCAAAACAGCAGAAAAGGCACGCAAACAGGTAAACACAATTCAACATCAAAAATCCACTCCTGGTTCTGCCTTCCATGGCCTACAATCCGTAAGTTTACCACAGGAAAAGAGAAGGTGAAAGAAGAAAATCAAATCAGGTGGTTCTTGGCAATACATACTCTACAAGATACCAGTGTGTGAACTCCCTCTGGTTCTCAAGTTTTTATCCCTTTTCTGTTTGAAAAGTTAAATTACAAATTCAGAGTAGTATTTATATCTGACTGGAGGACCTTTCGGAGGACTGACATAGCCAAGAATAAAACAGGACACAGTCTCCCTGCTGGAGGTCAGCATGAGGTTAAAGGCATCCCCAGGGATGGAGGAGGCAGGGAACCTCCAGGAGCCTCAGTAGTGATTATGCGGCTGCACAGGGAATGTCATTTTAAAGGTTTTGCAAAGGGAGCAAGAGAAATCTGAAGGCAGATGGTCATGGCAAAACTGAGTTAGTCTTGTTTGTGTTTCTTTAGATGTAACTCACCTGAAAACACATTTTGGAAATCTGGAAATTTGACGTAAATTCCCTCACCAGATATGTTTCAAGGTTAAAGTAGGAGAGAATCTTCATTCATTCAAGGTCCAAAGAGGGAATTCTTTTGAGAACATTTATATTATCAAAAGTTTTCCACATTTTTATTGATAAAACAGCACTGGGGAGATTTGTCTTCCTTAAAGCAAGAGCAGGAAGCAGAGAACCTGTCCGAACACTGCCTGTGCACTCAGGGCAGCGAGAGAGCTGAGCACAGGAAAGAAGGTGGCCCTAGTCACCCCTTCCCGGACTGATAGTAAAATTCAGCAGAATCAGCTCATAAACTCGACTTCACTGGCGCCCTTGGCACGCCGGTGCACAGCTGGAAAGGTGTCTGAGTGAGAAGCCAGCTTTAGTTTCCTCTTTCTGAGCAGATGCTCTGCGACTGTGACATCTCCATGTGCCAGGGTATGAAGGGAGCACAAAGGAAGGACAGGGGTCTCCTGGTTTGTCTCTGTAGGAAGCCAAGGACACTGCAGCTTGTTTTTCATTAGGGTCAGATTGGAGGCAAGAGAACAATGAAAACTTTAGTGAGCACCTACACACACAGCTGGAATTCACTGTGTTCAGTTTCAGAAATGGCCCCACAGGATAATTTAATAAGCTTGGACAGACTCAGTATTTATCTGCTTTGAATACTTCC